AAGTTAAAAAAAAAAAAATCAAAGATGACACAAACAATGGAAAAATATTCCATGCTCATGAGTTGAAAGAATCAACATTGTTAAGATGTCCATCCTACCCAAGGCAATCTACAGATTTAATGCAATATCCATTAAATTACCAGCAGCATTCTTCTCAGACCTGGAAATGACAATACAGGAATTCATATGGAAACATAAATGACCACAAATAGCCAAAGCAATCCTTAGGGAAAAAAATAAAAATAAAAAGGCAGGGTTGGGGGTGGGGTGGGTGGGTATCACACTCCCAGACTTTAAACTTTATTTTAAGGCTACAGTAATCAAAGCAGCCTGGTATTGGTACAAGAACAAGCCTATAGACCAATGGAACAGGATAGAGATTTCAGAAGCAAAACCTCAATTTCTCAACCAACTCATCTTCGACAAAGCCTCCACCATCAGCCACTGGGGAGAGGAGAACCTATTCAGTAAATGGTGCTGGGAAAACTGGCTGACTACATGCAGATTAAAACAAGATCCCTACCTACCATTATATACAAAAATCACCTCTAAATGGATCAAAGACCTAAATGTAAAACCTCAAACTATAAAACCTTAGAAAATCCAGGAGACAGCCTTATTGTCTCCTTGGTATCTACCTGATCAGAGAATTTGGAACTGGCAACCAATTCCTGATCAAAACCCCAAGTGCCCATGCAACAGGAGATAAGACAGACAAATGGGAACTCATCAAACTGACAAGCTTCTGCAAAGCCAAAGAAACCATCAACAGAGAGGGGAGACAGCCCACAGACTGGGAAAAAATATTTGCCAAGTGTATATCTGACAAAGGCCCAACATCTAGGATCTACAAGGAACTCAAATGTGCTGAAAAAAAACAAACAAAAAACAACATACAGCCCCCTTACAATGTAGGCAAAAGATATGAACAAACACTTCGTAAAAGAAGACATATAAGCAGACAACAGATACATGAAAAAATGCTCAGCCTCATTAGTCATCAGAGAAATGCAAATTATAACCATACAGGTACCAACTAACTGCAGTCAGGATGGTCATCATCAATAAATCAAAAAACAACAGATGTTGGAGAGGATGTGGGGAAAAGGGAACACTTCTACACTGTTGGTGGGAGTGTAAACTGGTACAGCCTCTGTGGAAAACAGTGTGGCAATTCCTAAAAGATCTAAAAGTCGACATTCCATATGACTCCACAATCCCCTTCTGGAAATATACCCAGAGGAACTCAAATCACTTTATGAAAAAGGAACCTGCACATGTTATGTTTATTGCAACATTATTCACAATAGCAAAAACATGGAACCAACTGTGTTGCCCATTGAGAGAGGACTGGATTAAAAATTGTGGTACATATACACAATGGACTATTATGCAGCCATAAAGAAAGGACAAAATTATGAACTTCGCAGCAACTTAGATGGACTTAGAGTCCACGATACTGAGTGATCTATCACAGAAACAAAGAACTGAGTACCACATGTTCTCCTCATAAGTGGACTTTGAACAATTATCAGAAAACTGTAAGAAAGAGATTGGCAGTGGTGAGAATCTGCCAGGGGTGTGCCACACCTCATCAACAAGGGTACCTGCATAATGAACATTAGTATATCTAACCCTGAATTGTACACTGCATCTTTAAAATAAAAAATTAAAAAAAATAAAGTCATTCCATAGGATGACTATTACTAAAAGAAAGAAAAAAAAAAAACGGAAAAAAGTGTTGGTGAGAATGTGGGGAAACTGGAACTCTCATACCTTGCTATGAGAACAGTAAAATGGTTCAGCAGCTGTGGAAAACAGTTTGGCAGTTCCTCAGAAACTAACACTGAATTACCATATGACCCAGCAGTGCAATTCCACTCCCAGGTATGGACCCAAAAAACTGAAAATAGGTGTTCAAACAAAACTTATACACAAATGTACGCAGCAGCTCTATTCACAATAGCCAAAAGTTGGAATCTTTTGACCATCAACTGATGACTGGATAAACAAAATGTAGGACAGTCATATAATGGAATGTTATTCAGCTATAAAAAGGAATGAAGTACTGACACCTGCTGTGACAGGGGAGAACCTTGAAAACATTATGCTGGATTGAAAAAACAGACACAAAAGGCTACAAATTATATAAGTTCATTTATGTGAAATATCCAGAATAGGCAAGTTCAAAGAGAGAGAATGCAGACTAGTGGTTCCTCGGGCCTGGGGAGCAGTGGGGAATGGGAGGGACTGATGAGTACAGAGTTCACTTTGGAGATGATTAAAAATGTTCTGGGACTAGACAGTGGTGATGGCTGCACCACACTGTGAATATACTAAATACATGGATATTTTAAAATGGTAAATTTTATGGTATTTTTTACCACAATAAAAAATAAACCCACTGGCTGGCTCTATGTGGTACAGTGATTGAAGGACTAGACAGTGCAGGTTTCCAGACACACCGGAGACTGAAAGAGAGCCATGCAGGGCCAAGGCTTGGTGAGGCTGGTGGGCCAACGTGCTTGGTTTCCCATGCTAAGTCATACCAGTTCCCAATATGCCTGACTTTTGTGGTTTTTTTTCTTTTTAAAATATGAATTCCAGCCGGGCTCGGTGGCTCAGCCTGTAATCCCGCGCCTTTGGGAGGCTGAGGTGAGTGGATTGTCTGAGCCCGCGGGT